CCAATATACCTGCAACTGATTTCTCACAGCATTAACATTAATATGGTACATTGTTACAATTAATGAACCAATATCGATACACTATTATTAACTAAAGTCCATACTTTATTCAGACTTTTAGTTTTTACCTAGAATTCTTTTTCAGTTCCAGAATCCCATGCAGGGTGTCTTCTTAGGCTACCCTGGCTGTGCACTTCCTGGTTTCTGATGATGTTGACAGTTTTGAGAAATATTGGTCAGGTGTTTCATAGAATTTCTAGCAATTGAGATTTATTCGTGTTTTCCTCATGATTAGAGTAGGGCTGTATGTTCTTTGGAGGAAGGTCACAGAGTTCAAGTGCCATTTCCATTGGGTCACATTATACGGTCAACATAATTTCTAGATTTTAGCCTTTCTTATAGGCATAAAACGTATCTCATTGTTGTTTTAATTTGCATTTGCATTTCTCTAATGACAAATGATGTTGAGTATCTTTTCAGATATTTGCCTCTGTATATTTTCTTTAGTGAGTTGTCTGTTCAGATCTTCTGCCCATTTCTCAAATTGGATTGTTTTCTTATTGCTGAGTTTTAAGAGTTCTTTGTATATTTTGGATAGAAGTCCTTTATCAGATCTGTGTTTTGCAAATATTTTCTTCCAGCCTGTGTCTCATCTTTTCATGCTCTTAACGGTGTCTTTTGCAGAGCAGATGTTTTTAATTTTAATAAAGTTCAACTTACCAACTTTTTCTTTCATGGATTGTATTTTTGGGATTGTACAGAGAATGGATAACCAACCCAAGGTCACATAGATTTTTCTCCTGTTTTTTTTCTTTTGGTTTATAATTCAATTTGAGTTAGTATTTGTGAAAAGTGTAAGGTGTGTGACTTGGTTCTTCTGTGTTATTTTTGCATACACACAGCCAATTGTTCTAGCACCATTTGTTGAAGAGATTATCCTCTGTCTGGTGAACTGCCTTTGCTCCTTTGTTATAAACCAGCTGACTATATTTGTGTGGGTCTATTTCTAGACCCTCTATCTTGTTCCAGTGATCTATGTCTGTTCTTTCACCAATGCAATGCTATTTTGATTACAACTACTGTTTTCTTTTAAAACTTGTACTTGTAGATTTTTATTTTATACTTCCAAGAACCAGTTTTGAATTTTTTTCCTAATTCTAGCTCTTTTTCTATTCTTGAACTTGTTTTGTTATTATTTCTGTAGTTTCTTCTGTTGAAATAGTTAATTTTATTGTCTCTTAAAATGTGTTTATTAGTCTGCTAGAGCTGCCATATAGAAATAACACAGACTAGGTAGCTTAAACAGCAGAAATTAATTTTCTCACAGTTCTGGAGGATAGAAGTCCAAGATCAAGATTTTGGAAAATTCATTTTATGGTGAGGTCTCTCTTCCTGGCTTGTAGATAGCCACCTTCTCACTGGATCCTCACATGACCTTTCCTCTGGGGACAAGGGAGATGGAGGGGAGGTGAAGATGTCTCTGGTGTCACTTCCTTTTCTTATAGGGATACCAGTTCTGTTGGATTAAGACCCTATCCAATGGCCACATTTAACTTTAATTAATCTCCTTCCGGGCCCTGTTTTCAAATAAAGCCACATTTGGGGGTTAGGGCTTCAAGATAGAATTTGGGGGGGATATAATTCAGCCCAAAGTAATATGATAAAAGCATTGCTATGAATTTGCTTCTGAATATAGTACATTATCCTCTGTAAGTTATCATTGATCCTTATTTTCTCATTGACCTAATAGCTAATTAGAAATGACAGTGCTTTCCCTTGTTCACCAGAATTTTTTTTTATAAATGCTGTATTTTAAAAGCTAATGTAGAAATTTATAATATTTCTATCATTGTTTTGATGTTTTGAATTTATTGAAAAATGTTTAATAGTCTTATAGAGTGGTTCTCAACCATAGGAGACATTTGGATAGGTGCATTTTTGGTTGGTGTGTGACAGCTGATGGGGAACGGCTTCTTCTAGCTCACAGGGGTGGTGAGAATTTCTGGATCTCCTTCATGCCACAGGCCAGCCGTGGGGAATTGTATGGTGTGTGTGTGTGTGTGTGTGTGTGTGTGTGTGTGTGTGTGGAAGAGAAAGAGAGAGAGAGAAAGAGAGAGAGAGAGAGAGAGAGAGAGAGAGAGAGAGAATGAATATTCCTCAGGCCCTGTCTTTCCCTAAACATGGCACTGGCCATCGTTGCTTTGCAGGCTGTCACTGGTGGGTGAGGAGCATTGTGTATGGGGTCTCCTCCTGGAGTTCTAGGGGTTCAGAGAGGCAGAGCACACTTTGCTCTGGGCTTTCCCATTTTCTTTGGGGATCTCTATCCAACTCCAGGATTTACCTCCAAGGACGTGTGTACCAGGGAGCAGTTTCACAATTATGTTCACTTGTATCTAAACTCATCCCCTCTGATTGCTCTTCTAGGTACTTCCCTATTTTTTGAAATGGGTTTAATTTTTTCCCTAGGTGGCAGGAAACAACTTAAATCACATCCTACAATCTTCTTTCAAGACTCTTATTAAAAACCATGCAAAGGCCTTCAAGCTCTACCTCTTGGTCTCTGGAAGGAGATTATTTTTTTCCAGATAAATGTTTGTAGTTAGAATAGGAATTTTAAAAAATTTCCCATTAACTTCTATTTTGATATAATTTCAGATTTAAAGTCTTAAAGAAAAGTACAAAGAATTCTCAAACACACTTTACCCAGATTCTCCAAATGTTAACATTTTATCACATTCTTCTTCTCTCTTCTCTATCTCCTCTCCCCTCCATCTCCTTCTCCACACAAGCACACACACACAAATCAGGAAATTAACATTAACAATACTATTATCCAATCTGTGAGCTTTATTCGTATTTTGCCAGTTGTCCCACTAAAATCCTTTATAGCAAAAGAAAATCCCAGATCATGTGTCCCATTCAGTGTCTTGTCTCTTTAGTCATTCTTTGTGTTTAATGACACTGGTGTTTTTGAAGACTACAGGTCTGTTATTTTGTAGACTCTTCCCCAGTTTGGGTTTATTTATATTTGTGCATGATTAGGTTCCAGTGGTACATCTTTGCCATGTATCTCACAGAAGTGATACCATTTCCTCAATGGGTCATACCAGGAAGCTCGTAATGTTGGTTGTCCCATTACTGTTGATATTAATTTTGATCACTTGGTAAAAATGGTGTCTGCCAGGTTTCTCTACTATAAAGTTACTATTTTTCCTTTTGTACTGAATAAGTTATCTTGTGGGGAGATACTGTGAGTCTATTATCCTGTTAGTCTTCAAACTTTTACTCTAATTTTATCACCCATTGATTTTTAGCTGAGTCAGTTATTATTATTATATTATTATAATGTTGAATTATTATTGAATTCATACAATTATGAATTACTATTATTACTAAATGGTTATTTTCTAATTTCATCATTCCTTTTGCATTAATTTGTTGTTTTTTTACTATAAGGGGAAGCTTTCTAAAGGAAGGCTTTTGAAATTAGGAAAAATTTTTTTTCTCCAGAAATTAAGGTCCTGCAATTGAATGTCTGACTTTAAAAATGACTTTTGACTGAAGCTGAGCTAAGAGGCCTGTTTGTTCTAGGCTGTATCCACCTTCTGTCTGAAGCAACAAATCCATTGAAACTAAGGGTAAAGAGCCACAGGGTCACAAGAATAATTTTAGCCTAGGAAAAGCCCCTAGGTTTAAACCGTTCAAGTATCATCTTGCTAAAAGAGTAGTTAGTTCTGCAAGTTTTCATATTTTTATGTCTTTATTAAAGGGGCTTTAGTGTAAAATTGAGTGAAACTGCTATTAAAAAGGAATTATGGAATCAAAAATAAATATATCACCACTTTAAGGATATGATGTATCTTGAACCAATAATAAAATGTTGCCAGATTGCTGACTTGCTCAGCCTGTTTTAATGGATATTTAAGACCACTGGTAATAATGGTTGAAAAAAATTAAAGTTTGAAAAGAACTTTAAACCTTTTGTCTTTTGAATAGCTTACTCTTCTTCCACTGAGGCTTACACCACTAAATTGCTAGATTAATTCACTGAAGACTGTATGAGGACTCTCATGTTGTAATGTCATCCCAATGGTGCTACATTATTATGAATTCCAAATTAGAGAAATGGAATTGATGAATTTGATTTTACTATTAGAAGTTGTATGTTTTGAACTTGATGATGTATATATGCTGGGGTAAATGTATCTTCCACTTGCTTCCATGGCTTATGCCATCTCAGGGAGGTGCGACTGAACCAGGTTTGTTTCAGAGATAGGTGGTAGATCCTGTAATATCTTCAAGATGTGTTATGTTTCCTGAGCAAAAACATTCCTGTGCCACAACCTGGCAGATTCTCCCATGTTAAGGCATTTAAAAGAGACTTAAAAAAAGGATACTCATTTATGTTTGCAGTTTCTTGCAAATGTACAATGCCTAAATTAGTTAATAGGGGAACATAAAATAAATTACATTAAAACAAAAAGAGTTGAAAACACAATTTTCTAATTTTCTTATGGGTATTAGTCTAAGAGAATGAATCATAAAAGAAAAAAGCTAACTCTAAGTCTCCCCTGTTTTCTCTTTCAAACACATCCTTTTATCTTGATGATTGAAAATATATCAGAAATCTTCACCTTGGGGGTCTAAAATAAAAAAGAAAGACAATTAAAATTACTCAGTGTGCATGTTCTCTGTATTATGAATGTTGAAATTTGGATATATTATCTCCAGAGAGTTAATGTGATATTTCAGCACATCCTTGTACTTCCTCTTTGTACATAAGATTTAGGGAAATGCAATGATGTTTGTCTATCTTGATTTCTGCCGTTTATTTCACTGGCTCATGTATGCAATGATGATTATCATTTCTCCTGGGAAGTAACATTGTCTTTAGAAATGTGTGTGCAGTGGGGATTGAGGTATATGTCTTAGAATATTAGGTCTTTTAAAAAAATTGTTAATGTAGACAGTTCCTTATTTATTTGTGTGTTTTTTTTTAGAATCAATAGATCCTTCTTGCTATGAACATGAAGACACCTTTTTCTCAGTGTTTCGCACTCAAATACCTCCGGAAGAGTATGAAAACCATAAAGAGAATGTCAATCAAGGTGTGTTTTAATTTGTGTGATTTTATATATTGAGAAAATACTAGCTGTAAACAAATATTTACAGATGAAATGATTTGTGATTTAATCTGGAGGTGGGTGGAGATAGGCGAGGTTCTAATGAAATAAGATTGGTCATGAGTTAATCATTGTTGAAGTTAGTTGTTGGGGTTCATTATACCATTCTTTCTACTTTTGGAAGTCTGAAATTTTATATAACAAAGAGTTAAAGAAAAGCTGACTGCAAGTAATGGAAACCTAGCTTAAGCAAAAAAGAAAATTTATGGAAAGAATCCTGGTGGTAGACAGTTTCTTTGATTCCCAAAGAGCACATTCTGTGGGTAGTCACTGAGAGGGAGACTCAATTCCAAAATTCTAGAGAAGAGACCAATGGGCCCAGTTTGGATTAGGTACCTACCCCTAGTCTAACCAACTTGTACAACCCAGCAAGGGTTGGGGTCACTATAGGAACATGGCAGTGTCTGCTGTGGGTCACCACCAGGATGGAGAGAAGAGGACATTTCTAGTGAGACAATTCTGACCAGACAATCCAGTGTTTTTTCCTACGATTTATTAAAAGTGTATTTTAAGGAAACTCTATTACAAATATAGACATAGATGTATTTACCTGAGTTATTTTAATGTATTAAGAGCATTTAAAACTTCAACTGAGTGAATAAATCTCATATTTCAACCTGAAATACTATATGCAACTTGGATGATGGGAAAAAGTTATGTATTACATATCTGAGGAGACCACTCATTCTTTAAAGTAACTCATAGGTAGTTGATTTTAAAAAATTGTGTTACTTATTAAAAAATAAAATCCAAAGTATAAAGCACAGATTTAGTTGCCTAGAAATTATAATTTGTATTTGAGTAATTTTTTTTACGCAAATTTATTTTTCTTGGAAAAGACTTTAAATGCAGAGATCTTAGCATTTTCTTGGTTCTTTCTAGCTATTGTTAAATATATTCTTTAATAAATTTTTATTGAATCTTTGATAATTAGTTATAAAGACATCAATTGACTAGCTCCCTTAGTCCTTTTAATTGAGGTAACCTTTTATAAAACCAAGATAATTTTGAAGTAAAACTTGTCTGGGTTGAGCTACAGGCTGGTGCTTTTCCCTTTTGGACTTTAGTATGGCAATGTATCCTATTTTGTGGGGTGGACTCCATTTGTTATTTGAGAACACTCTTCATTATGCATACTTTTACAACTTAAAGAAGGGTTCACATGATCTTGTTTTAAATGCCTTAAATATGACTACAGTGAAAACAAGATATTTAATAAAGGGAATAAGATTCCACAAATATTTTTATTACCCTGGTTTTGAGCACCCAAGGTTGAGAAAAACTGATGAACCGAGATGGCCTTTCAGGGTTTGTGCAGATGGGACGTAGAACATCCAGGACACTTATGTCCAGACCTTGATTAAAAGAAAGGTTTGAACAAAAAGTGTATTGTTCAGATAGGGTGATGGAAAATTAATAGGATAGCAGGAAATGACTCTAGTCTTTAGGGAAAGTTTTGCTTTATGAAAAATAAAATAAAATATATTAAAAAATCCCCATGACATCTGAGATTTCTCCTTTACATGTATCACTTGAAGTTCTTTTCATGTTTCCTATGATTCCAATGGAATCAACAGCAAGAAGTTTGATACATGATAATAAATAACAAAAGACATTTTATGAGAACTTCATTATAAATTATGGCAGCACATTGATCTTTTTAAGAAAAAATTTCCATATATATTAGGTTTCAGTACCTGGAATTTAGAACTTCTTCTATGTGTATTTTCTTCCTTCCTTCTTTCCTTCCTCCCTCCCTCTCTTCCATCTTTCATCACTGATACACAATCTTATGACGATTTCACATGAACAGCATTTTGGTTTCAACATTCACCCATTATTACACCCCAACGTCCCCCTGACCCATTGCAGTCACTGTCTATCAGTGTAGTAAGATGCTGTGAGTGATTACTTGTCTTCTCCGTGCTGTACTGCCTTCCCTATGACCCACCTATATTGTGATTGCGAATTATAGTGCCTCTTAATCCCCTTTTCCCTCCCTTCCCACCCTCCTCCTCAGTCCCTTCCCTTTGGTAACCACTAGTGCCTTCTGGGAATCTGAGTCTTCTGCTATTTTGTTCCTTCAGTTTTCCTTTGTTTTTATACTCCACAAATGAGTGAAGTCATATGGTACTTGTCTTTATCCACCTGGCTTATTTCACTGAGCATAATACCCTCTAGCTCTATCCATGCTGCTGCAAATATTAGGATTTCTTTTCTTTTTATGGTTGAATAATATTCCACTGTGTATATGTACCACATCTTCTTTATCCATTCATCTATTGATGGACACTTAGGCTGCTTCTGTATCTTGGCTACTTTAAATAGTGCTGTGATAAACATAGGGATGCATATGTCTTTTTGAATCAGGGATCTTGTTTTCTTCAGGCAAATTCCTAGGAGTTGAATTACTGGGTCAAATGGTGTTTCTATGTGTATTTTATTTCTTATGTATTTTCATATATGTGTAAAGTAAAATTTTAGCATAATGGACAATTATAATTATGAAAAATTTTGAACTTTTTTTAATATTAGATTTTACCTATGATGTTGAAAGAAATGAGTCATTAAACAAAGCAGAAATGGAACCTTTTTCAAATACCCCTGAACTCAGAGGTAAACACAGCCAGGATTTTATTAAACGAAACATTGAGGTATGTACTTATATGTTTAGAAGCCACAATGTGGGAATATCGTGTTTGGTGTTTTTAAATAAATTTTTGACCATGATATGTGTATATGTAATTGAAACAGTATATGTAATTGAAAGAAAAGTTTTATGAACCAGCACTTAACTCTTTATTTTCTATGCCATCATCCTATGCTCTTTTGCCTTTTAAAAGTGCTAGCTGCAACTCGGTACATTTATTTCCCTACCCAGAAATGAATCTGGCTCCTGCAATTTGAAAAACATATATTTAGATAATAGCTTTGGACAATGTTTGCACATTTTATTTATTTATTTTTGTATTTCCTCATCAATTCTTTTATTTATTTATTTATTTAATTAAAGTATCATTGATATACACTCTTATGAAGGTTTCACAAGAAAAACAATGTGGTTACTACATTCACCCTTATTGTCAAGCGCCCCACCCCCCATACCCACTGCAGTCACTGTCTGTCAGTGTAAGATTGTTTGGCAGATTTAAAATTGCATATTAGAGTATATCTGTAACGTAGAAGCCTCAGGTACCATTTTTGTTTTCCTGAAATTTAAAGTAATGAGACTGATTTTGTATGTGGTGCAGTTTAGAAATTCGAAGGGAAAATGCTCCTAGCAGAGCTGGAAAAGCCAAGAGGTTGTCTGCCCCCTGCCACCCCCTCAGCTGAGCTTCTCGACAGCCCATCAGTCGTTACTTGTCTTGATTAGCTCCCTGCTTCAGGGGCTTGACCTTGGTCTTCCAGGCCCTGCGGCCTCACTTGGTGTGTCCTCAAGATGGGCTAGCCAAGGGCACAGGGGCTTGTGTAGTAGACCAGAATGCTGACGAACTAATTTACAGCAAGAAATTTAAGTGCAGTGGACAGAAAGCTCACGGCAAACCATTCAGGCAGTTAAGTCACCAGGGAACTACATTGGTGAGTGTGAAGTATTAACAAGAGGAGAGAGGTTAAATAATTCCTCACAGTTCAAGCCTGAGGCTTTTTTCACAGTTGGCATAGGATTCATGGGGTCAGCCTGCCATTGCCAGGACTGAACTCTGAGACACTGATTTCTCTGAGCTCTGTTTTGATCATGATTGGAAGGGAACTACCTTCTCCAACGTGATTGGTCTCTTTATGCTGGTCCATTGAGTGTGTTGATTCGTCGTTTAATTTTCTAAGAGCAGTAGTGTTTTCCCTTATCGAAGTTCTTGCTGCCACAGACTAGCTTCACCTTGAGTTTCCCTATACCCCTTCTAACAGTAGTAACTGAATCTTTATTTAAAGTCCTGATATGATAGTCTTGAAATTTCAAAGCAGTTTCATTTAGTGGATATGTGTAGTATTAGGAAGTGGTAAGAAGATTCCTTCCAAATGTCTCAGCAAGTGTTTTTGCATTGACATATATAGAGTTTTGCAAAATGCCCAAGTTTCATTGTTTTTTTTTATGTTTTAATAAGATGATTGTTGAAATGGTTAATATGAGGGCCTGCTTATAGTAGGAATATCTTTGCTTGGAGAATGGACCTATACCACAAATTTGGAGTAAAATAAAATTACCTAGCAAATGGACGACACCTTGTTGCACAAATTTTTCCTCAGTATATCTGTAATGTAGAAGCCTCAGGTACAATTTTTATTTTCCTGAACCATGGACTGCTCTGGGTATTTAATATTTTCCATTAATACATTTTGTAGTTGGCCAAGAATTTTGGAAAATCAGTGGTTATGGTTGACAGAGAGAAGAAAAGGCTGGTCGAACTTTTGAAGGACTTAGATGATAGAGATTCGGGGTTGTCCAGTTCTGAGGTATGTGAATTCTGATATTTAGTGACCTCTTTGCTTCTTAATTTTTATGTTCTAATCATGTTATTGACCTAATAGCACAAATTTACAGTATTGGCAAATTATGAGATAATATTCAATGACTTAAAAAAATTCTACTTACAAATTTATTTTTATTGAAATTTTCAAATCTATTCTTAGTCTATTCATTATTGACTCTCAGGATTATCTTATGTCATTATAAGAATGACTGCACCTTGGCTATCACAATATTAACCTCTGCCTGCCATGTAATGGGCTTAGTCACTGAAGACATTAATGTGTTTCTCTGAAGCCCTTTGTTTTGGACATTTCTTGTTATCCCTAAACTGGCTCCATGATTTTTCAGGGTAGTCTCTAGTACTTAAAGCACACTGTCCTGCTCCTGCCCACTTAACCTGGGACATCCAGGTCCCTGATGGTCTGGATGGTGGCACTAGCTGAGTCTAACAAGGAGGTGCCCTGCCCAGGCGCAGGACAGCCAGGCCTCAGCATCTGATGTGGGCAAGGTTTGGTATGCAAAACTGCTAAATACCCACATAATTCTGAGATATTTTAGCTTTAGGATTCATGGTGATTTGTTTATTAACAAAAGCTAAGATAACAGTAAGAATTAAGGTATCTGAGTCTCATTCCTGATTTTATTATTAATTATGAGGTTGGGCAAGCTGCTACTTACTCATTCTTTGGGTACAAAACCATGGCATGATAGATCTTCTTTACATATCCTAGAAATGCTTTAACAATGAATTTTTGTAATTAATGTTGTATTTTACACATTATTTTTGTTAGTATTTTTGTCTTGTCCCTCTGTTTTAAACTCTTCTCTATCACTTAGTTTTAGGGAGATGTTTTACAAATAATATGTAGCTGGATTTTTGTTGTTGCTATTATGTCTTTATCTTTTGTTATTATTTCCTTGCTCTATCTTTTAATGAGGATATTTAATTTATTCACATTTATTATGACCACTGATGATTTTTGAACCTTTTCCTGACATTCTATTTTATATTTCTTTTATTACATTTATTCTGTTTTCTTAACTTTACCCCCTTTTCCTCCCATGGCTTGAAATTCAGTGTCCTATTTCTGATCTGGTGCTGTTAACCCTCGAATTCTTAAAATACATTAAAATGTATATTTTCTTTTTCAACTTCAATTTCAACTTTCAATTTAAGTAGTCTCTTAACAAGACAGGATCGTTGGTATCTTTGGTTTTTATTTCCCTTTTCTCTCATTTCCTCTCTTCCAGAATATATTGAAATAATCAGGAACTCCATTCTAAAATATTAGAGGTTTTTACCTTTAAAAAACATGCTTTTTGTAGTTTAGGAATCTTTCTTCCAGTAGGCAGATTTTTTAGCCACTTCATTTGCATCATACCTTGTAGGCTCTTTTTATCTGAAGGTTCAAGATCTTTCTTCAGTTCAGAAAATTATCCTCTATTATTTCTTCCCTTCCATCATCTTTTTTCTCTCCTTTTGGGCTACTTGTAAAATGGGATATCCGTTGGGAATGTGATTGGCTGCAGATAAAAGGAAACTTTATTAACAGTGGAAGCCACTGTTACTAAGTAAAGAGTTAATTTTTCTTCAGGAACAAGAGATCCAGTTAAAGGCAGCTAGTGTCTTTCTGGTTTCCTGCTACACATTCTTAGTGTTTTGTTTTTAGGTTTATAAGACTGCTGCTCTATCTGTAGGTAATGTTTCTCTTTTCTGGGCAGAAAGAAAAGTGGGAGGGGAAGGAGCAAGAGACTCCTCTGAGGCTTGGCTTTTTCATTTGGGAAGGTGCGGTGCCCCTGGGGCTTCTACCTGCATCTTGTTGGCCAAGCTGTGTCACAGCTGTGCATTGTGTCCAGCACTGCAAGTGAGGCTGGGCTTTTGGGGATTTCACTTTCTCATAGCAGAGGAAGGCAGGGAAGAAAGAAATAGGAAAAGGGGATCAGGCCAGTCAATGTGCAAGCCCACAGATAGATATAGAAGCTTCTGGATATCTCTTCCAGGTCTTATAATATTTTTCTCATAGTCTTCATCCTTTTTGTCATTTTGCTCATATGAGCCCATTTTAAGTTTTCCAAGTTGGGTTTCAGCCATTTCTGTTCTGCTCTTTAGCTATGCAGACCTCTTTTGAGATTGTTGCTGTTATTTTTTACAGTTACTGTTTTTAAACTAGTATTTGCTGAGAGTTCTTTCTGCAAATCCTCGGGGAGAAAGAGGATCCTTTCTTATTATCTGGTGTGGGATATAGATATTTTATACAGAAATTGTATAAAGCCAGATAGAAGATGGAACAGAGATTCAGAGGTGGAAGATATGAAGTATGGCAGGAATAACTTCAAACACTTTGAGGAAGGGACCTGTCTCCTGTATGCTTACACCATACCATTCCTCAGATTTGCTGTATGCTTTCAAACTTCTGTGCACCCTTTTCTTTATTGATTGCCCCACCATTTCATCTGTGCAACTTAAAGAGGATAACTAAAATGATGACCTTGTTTTAATTCCCAGGACTCTTGCTGTCTGGTGGTTTTTTATAGTGGAGTGTTTAATTGTGTGGATTAATATTCTCCCAAATCTCTCTAGGATACTTAGAATTTTTAAAACATTTCCTCCAATGTTGGGAGCTCCTAAAAGCCAGATGCATGGTACAACACATGTCAGTCAGTGTTCTGGGTTGCAAGAAACAGAGATGGACTTTGGTTAAAAAAAGAGCTAATGAATTTATTGGGAGATTTGGGTAGCTCATAGACTTAATGGGAGGTTTGGAGAGCCAGGTCTGTAAACCAGGCAGATTTCAAAGTACCCAGAAACACAATCATAGAAAGTTGTCAGAAACAGGCTGGTTAGGGGCTGCACCACAGCCACCAGACACCCCACTTGGAGGATAAATGAGGCCACCTTCACTGCTACCAACACAGATTCTCCCTGCTGCCGCTGTTACTGTTAATCACTTTCCAGGTGCCCTGCATCTTTGAGTCTTTCTCTCCCTAAAGAGTCAAAGTCCAGGGTTCACTTTTGTTTGGTTGAATCTAGGTCATTGCTTGTCTTCCTGATGCCAGTGGGTAGGGGGAAGGAGTGACTGGTGGGGACTTATCCCCTACCAAGATGCATGCAGTTTGCTTTCACTGAACCAGAAAGGGAGATAGGATGTTGGGGTCAGGGGAAAAAACAGATACAAGACTTTCTGGATAAGTTTTTGAGTGTATTTCTTCTGGTTACTGCCTAGGGTTCAATTTCTGGTACTAGAGTCATGAAACTGAAGTATGAAATCCTTAAGCTTTCTTGCCCTCTCCCTGTCCCTTTATTCTTTATGTTCTTTATGATTCTTCTGTCCTTGTACTACATGTGTGACATCACCCACTCCTGTGGTCCAAGGGTTTGATCACTATAGATATATGGGTAAGTCTAAAATACTTACTTCCAATCCAGGTGTCTATCTTGAACTTTATACATATTTAATTACCTAACATAATCTGTGAAGAACCTTGGGACATCTGTGAATATCAAAAGGTCTCAAGCAGAATTCATCATCATTTTCCTCCTCAAGCCTACTATGTCTCTTATATTCCCTAACTTGGTCAATGTGACCACCATCCCACTAGCTGACAAAAGCAGGAATTAAGTTTTTATCGTTAATCCTTAACTCCTCCCTTCATGCCTCATTTTTATTAAATTATCTCCAGATTCTTTAAATTCTACTTCCTAAGTATCTCTGGAATCTGTCCTATGTTCTGCATTCCCAGAAAATATTCTTTAGCTCAGGTGTTAATCACCTCTCAAGTGCCCTGTATCTTTGGGTCTTTCTCTCCCTGAAGAATCAAAGTCCAGGGTGTTCACTTTTCACTGGTTGAATCTAGGTCATTGCTTGTCTTCCTGATACCAGTGGATAGGGAGAAGGAGTGACTGGTGGGGACTTGTCTCCTACCAAGACGTATGCAGTTTGTTTTCACTTTTGTTCTAGATTATGGTTTTTGCTTCTTAACTGGATTATCTACCTCTGTCTTTCCCTTACCAGCTCCAGTTTTAAAGTGCATATCCCATCATATTGTTTCTTTAAGATGTGATTAAGATCTATCATTTATTCCAGGGAACCTTTTCCAATCACTGTCTCCTTGTCTCTTTCTGTCCACAGTGGTTAGTTGACCCTGTCTGGTTTCCATGGTGCCCTAGGCCTACTAGCATTCTTTACACCTTTTTAAAAAGAACTCCCTGAGCACAGCAATGTGTGAGATTCATACTGAATCACCGGTGCCCAGTGTAATGCCTACACACAGTAGGCACTCAGTCTGAGATTTTGAAATGATGGTTAGGAATGGGTTTTAACCTGTTATGAAACTAACGTTAGTTGAATAAGGAGTTAAATCACCAATTAAGCTCATGAAACCTAAACAGAGCATTTACAGACCCTATGTTACATTTTAGGGACAAATTTTGAAAATACCATGTCATTACAGGTAAACATGATTTTTTCCTATTCAACATATCACAAGTCACTTTTTCAAACTGGAGAAATGAGAATGTTATGAGAATCAGACTGTGAGGCTAAGAGATTATTCCATACGGGGAAAAAAACCCCCACAAAATTTAAGAAGATATTTACAGAGAGTTTGACAGATAATGAAACCATAAAGTAATTTTTTTCTTTTACTATCCCAGTGTTAATTCTATGTTTTTTGTTTATTTGTTTTTGTGAAGTCCTAAGCACTTGTGTAGCATATATATTTTGGAAAAAAATGCAACATAAGAATGACCTGATGGCCCTTGTTTCCTCTTAGGGGGACCTGCCTGGCTGGCTGGTCCCAGGAGAAGGATACAGGCTTGCAGTCACCCAGCATCAGCAGCTTGCTGAAATTGATACAAAACTCCAGGAACTCTCTGCAGCCTCTCCAGCAATTTCCAGCTTTTCACCAAGAGCTGAAAATCAGAACAATCAGGTATATTTGATTTAAGAGCACATATACTGCTCAGGTTTATGTGTGCTAAAGCTAGTTTACATAATTTGACCTCTGCTTGTTAATTAAAGAGGTTTCTTCCCAATTGCTGTTTCCGTGACTACAACTGCAGATAATGGTGATTTCCATACAAGTGTATATTTTCTTTAGGTGACTTCCACTTTCTATTTATTTTTCTTTCAGTTGGTGATTTGCTGGGGTGGAGATACATTCACTAAGGAATTATATATTTTAGATGATGATATTTTTGTGATTTAAGCTGTTTCTTAATCAGGAGAGAGGGAAGGAAATTGACATAGTACTCACTCCTTTTAGAGCCTTATTTCTGTCTATTCTTTTTTTAAAAAATTTATTCTTATTTCTGTTAATTACTCTGGTTCTAGGAATTAGTGATGGCAGCCACTTGTCCCTTACTCTGCTGCCTTCTCCTGGCTCCTTTAAGCTAATGTCAGGCGGTGAGGCGCACTGTGTTGATGACCTCTCCCTGTGAGGGATTTGAAATGAATATGTTTCCTCCCTAGATAGTTCCCTCAAATATTCTTTTACAAAGCTCAGAGAAGGTGCAGAAAAAGAGAAGAGCAGCAGCTTTGGAAAGTAGAATCCTTCCTCCTTTCCTTATCCCCCCACTTATTTTAGTACTTCATGGGATCTGGTTTGGAGCTGGGCCGTGGTTTCCACTTGAAAACGGCTGGTCTTTTACTATTCTACGAACCCCCTACCACTTTTGTAAACATTTCACCAAATCATTTTCTGTACAATCTTAGATGCATGTGATTTTTTTCGTCCTTAAAAAGATTAAAATATTAGGAGTCTATAGGTAATAATTCTGTTTTATAGTGAGTCTTTTCTCCAAACTGTCAGTTGAAGGTTAGGGATTTGGCTTTGAGCCGGTTGTAATGACTTCACGAGAAAGGCACAGTGTCAGTGTGTTCCAAAGAAAGTTTGGTCACCGGCAAAACCTTATGGAGCCATCTCAGCCTCCTTAGATTATATTTCTATGGGCCGGGAACAGCTGCTTCTGAGCTGTTTACACAGCAATAGTGGTAGGAGTGAAAACCACTGATTTTTGGGTTGGGATTAGAGTTCTTGGAAAACAGAGAATTGGAAACTCTGTCCCCACCTAATGTACCCCAGGACTTTGGTACTAGTTACACTGGTGGTTTATTTACATTATTGGGTGCCATTTCCCAAAAGGAAGAAGCCCAGATGGGGACGTAATGGTCTGGGGATATTCTTTGTTCTTCCCGTGTTATGGTGGTGGTGGTGTTAGATCTCAAAAGTAGCTGAGATTTGAAAGCTGAACAGTGGTTCTGAAGATGGAAAAATGTCTTTTTCGTGGCTGTCAAATGTTATTGTCAAAAGAGAAGCAGAATTTAGAGATTTGTTTAGCCATTAGGTCTTCAAATAAAGCATGACTATGGTCATATTCTGTCATCTGAATCACGTTTTCAGAGTTCACACTTATAGTTCAGATAAAATATTAAAAAAATAATACAAACAAAAACCAGTATGTTGCTTAGTTGTTACAGTGTATGTTTTTATGTGAAACAGCACATATTTAGAGAGGAAAGAAACTACATTTGGAGACTCCCAATGGATGCAGAAACAGAAATGTAATATCAGTTGTTAAAAAATAAATAATTAGGGTTTCTTGCATGCAAAAAAGAGTATCATTTGAGCTTTTGTTCAATTGCCTCCTGGCATTTCTAACTAAAACCAGCATTGCACATTGAATTTTCAAGCCAGAAATGCTAACAGGGAGAAGTATTTTATGGATATTATTTTTGGATAGGAATGCTTTTGAACAAATATGTTAAAAAGTATCTTGGATAAACCCGGTGTATCTATTCAGTTGATGAATGGGCTGCACTTTATTTGCTGAACCACAAATATTCATAGTACTTATTCATGTTATTTTTATTTTTAATGCTTCTGCAAACCATTAACTCATAAGTAGTTTTTCTCTATGCTCCTTATGAAAGTATGACTTTTAAGTGAAATATAAATTTCTGCTTTTCAACAATCAATTAAACAAATATTAATCAAGAACTCACTGTTCCTGCAAGGAATAGTAGGACACTTAAAGACAAGTCAAGCAAATAGGGAACTGGGGAGTCAGAAGGCTGAGCTTCAAGTTCCGGCTCTTCCTCTCACTAGTTCTGAGGACCAGGGCATTAATTAGAAACACCTAAGTGCCAGTTGCCTCATGTGTAAAGTAGAAGCAATAGTATTATTCTTTAGGGTTCCTTTAAAGAGTAAATGAGTTAATGTATGAAAAGTACTCAGCACAGTGTCTGACACAGAACTCAACCAATGATGTTATAATAAAAAGTGACTTAGGGAACTTATTCCTTATGAGAGGCACAGCAAATATATAAATAACTGTGGTACAAGACAACATATATAAATACAATTGAAGGCCACTAGCAAAGTGGTGGTTTAGAAGAGAAAGAAAAAACACACACAGAAGAAATATCAAGAAAGTACATTTCCACAAGTGAGGGGCAGGAGGAGAACTAGTGAATGAGGTGGAAGGGGTCACAGGCTCATGAGAAGCTTACTACTGTATAGCATGAAGTTGAAAACTGGTGGCCTGCAGGGCAAATTTGGCTCACAGATGGGTTTCTTTTTGCCTATGTAGGGTTTAGCCAGCATTTAAAATTGGGTGAACTCATATAAAAACCCAGATTTCCTAATTTCTTTTGGGAAACTAGAAAATCTGGCAACATTAGGCCTGAATCTCTTTTTGGCAAACTATAGGATAAAGCTGAGTAGCAACTGCTGCTTTATATGGAGTACAAGTTCTCCAATTTGCTAGAGTATCCACCACTCCATATTGTACTGCAGGCCCTGAGGCCTACTTCATCCATGTATGTTGCTTGCCCAGCCCTTCAAAACATCTTTGAATGCCTGCTGATTTCATAGGAGATGCCGTGGTCATTGATGGTGAGTATCCAGATTAGTATTTGGCTTCATCTCTGACCTTTCAGCAGCTTGTAGGATATTGGAGAGGATGTAAACATAGACGAGTTGTGGAGTGACCATACAATGAAACAAGAAGTACCACAAAGAAACAAAAATACCCGATCTTATGAAAAGTACAGAAAGTATATGCTGGGAGCTGCGGGGCACAGAGAAAGGAAAGGTTATTTGGTGTAGGCATGATAATTAAAAAATCCCTTTGGAGAGTTTTTAAATTTTGTTCAAGAAGATAGTTTTCCAAACAACTTGAAACATGTAGCCTTTCTGACTTACCTGACTCTGGCAACCATGGGTGTTAGGTTGGTAGACGAGTTAGTCTAGGATGACTGATGTACCTATGTCAGAATAATTTGAGGGACCCTGGGTATGTGACTCAGAGTTTAAGTGCTGGTTATTGTGAGATAGGAAGTCTTATTTTTCTTATGAGCTTGCTGCTGATAATGTTCTCTTATAGATGCCCTAGCCTGGCTCTAACTTTGTAGCAATGTTTTAAAAGCAGCATTTGGCTTTTAGTCACCTTATTTCCTTAGTGTACAACAAAGCATGCTGACATTCAGAAGAAAGAATGGTGTATTACTGCTGTTGCTGTTATATGAATAATATCATGTGGTTGCAGTTTTTACAGCTGTTTTTTATTTTCATTTCATCTTAGCAAAAGAGAACTAATTGAAGCAATTTTTTTCTTAAGGTCTGTGGTTGAACTGTGCATACCTTACTCTGTCCCTCCCCTGACCCTCCAACAGATCAGTTAGTTCTTTCCACATATTGTAAATCCCACCATAAAACTGACTGATGTTCTGTAATTCAGTTACTGCAATTTGTATGTGTATCTGTATTAGATTCCAGCTTTCTCCAGAAATATCTAAGATATAGGAGTTATGTAAGCATTCAGTTTCTTAAATTCTTAGCAACTGGATTTAATAATAAACTCTATTCAGTTTGGCTCTTGTAAAGATGTGTAATTTATTCATCTCTCATGCAATCAGTCTTACTAAATCTAGAATTCCAGTTCATGGTTAGATTTTTTTTTTCTGTTTGGAAGAATGTTTTCAGAAATGGCTCTCATTGATAAGAGGCATTTCTTTGTTTTTAAACCAACTAGTTTGATGAAATAGAAAGGTCCTCTTTAATTTGATTTATTTTCTTATTCCTAAAATTGATCAGTTGTACACAATTTGGTAAGACCAACAAAAAATAGCAAACATTTGACTGAGGAAAGTTGTAGTTGTACTCATCTGTTTTCTTGCCAAGAGTATACTATTATTGACTGGAACAAGTTTGTTTTTGGTCTCTTCCTATTTCAGCATTAGCTAAAATTGAGGAAATATAAAATGTAATCCTGAAAGATGTTTTATTGTTGAGTCCAGGGATTTCCAGAATTCTAATAATGGCCGTACAGTCCACTTGATGTCAAGTTGCTTAATACACTGGTTGAAGGAAGGAATCTAGAAATTTTTTAATGTATGCTAATCAGAAGCGCAGAAATCTTATTGACAATCTGCTCATTTCCCCAAACTAGAAGTATGTCACAGGAGTAGGGACTTCTGGACTGAGAAATAAAAAAAGAAGTTACTTCAAAAGTCCTTGCCTCTAATGCTAACCTGTAAAACATTCCCAATTAAATCTGGGGAATTCTTGTTGCCACCAATTTTCCACAGATTACTTTGAAGTTTATATTTCTTTGTTTTTCTATGTTAAGCCTCCTTTGTAGTCCAGGTTTCTTTCATTTCATGGCAGTATTCCAAGATGATAAATACAATCAGGCTGGAAGATTTTCCCCCTGCTTTTAGTACTGCCAGGTAAATGACACGAAATAGCAGTAGCCTGTAGAAAAGTGTAGATTAGTTTGAAAATACAGGGCAAGCTAGATTTATTTAGGCAGGTTTGTATTTTTCTGTGGCCCTTAATGCATGCCTTCTTTGCATGTCAGGTAATTTATGATGATGTGAATAATTTCCTCTGTATTTGGCTTTTAGAAATGAGTTTAATTAGCTTCAAAG